AGGAGGAGTCCAACTCCCTCTCGGCAAGCTGGTATGTACACCATCTCATTGGAAGGGGATTCATCCCGGCGAGAGCACCAGCTCGTTGGAAGGAATCCCTTCCAGATCGAGCTGGTCTGTGTACCAGCTTGCTGGGAGGGACTCCTCCTGACGAGCTGGTTTAAAATCCAGCTCGCCGGGAGGAACCCCTCCCAACAAGCTGGTATGTGAACCGGCTTGTCGGGAGGAAGCCCTCCCTCCCGGCAAGCTGGTATGTACACCATCTCGTTGGGAGGGATTCCTCCCGAAGAGAGCACCAGCTCGTTGGAAGGAATCCCTTCTAACGAGCTGGTCTGTGTACCAGCTTGCCGGGAGGGACTCCTCCTGACGAGCTGGTTTAAAATCCAGCTCGCTGGGAGGAACCCCTCCCGATGAGCTGGTATGTACACCGGCTTGTCGGGAGGAATACCACCCTCCCGGTGAGCTGGTATGTACACCAGCTTGTTGGGAGGGATTCCTCCCAACGAGAGCACCAGCTTGTCGGAAGGAATCCCTTCCAACGAGCTGGTCTGTGTACCAGCTTGCCAGGAGGGATGCCGGGAGGAACCCCTCCTGACAAGCTGGTATGTACACCAGCTCGTTTACCAGCTCGTCGGGAGGAATCCCTTCGCAGCAAGCTGGATTGTATACCAGCTTGCCGGGAGGGATTCCTCCCGGCGGCATGGCCTCTCTAGGCAGAGGGGGGCCAGTTTTGTTTCTTTTTCTTTGTAAAAACAATAATTCTCTACACTCTCTTGGCACCGGGTATCCCTTGGGATACCTGGATATCCGCCAGGATTGCAGGGGGAAAAGCACATCCGCACCCGCTGGCGGGTATCCGCCAGCGGATAGCGGATATCCGCAACCATCTCTACAGCAAACCTAGATTGGGTAAAAAATTTAAAGTCTCACGATGGTAAACGGGCAACACCTTTGATAAGGATGGGTGAACCATCATCTGTTTTAGCTTCAATGTCCTTAAGAAAATTTCTGACTTTTGAAGTGATCTCAGGAGGCGACATTTGAAAAAAGGACGAGAATCAGGGATGGATTTTTGAATGACAAAGAATCCAGGTTTGAATTTGTTGAGAACACGGTTAGAAGGAGGGGGACGAGCTGCATTAGATTGAGGATTAACTGGGTTGTTCTTTTTCATGACCAAGGACCATGAGTTAGAAGGTTTGGGAGCGGAGTTAACCACAGAGTTAAGTGATTTCTCAAATGAATCTAATCTTGCTGTGATTTCCAACAAGCGAGAGAGTTTGAACACTTGCAATCATTTCAACTTTGAGAAGAGGAAACAAGGAATTTGCCTTGTTGGAAGGGATGAAAATACTTCCATCAGAGTTACAGTTTGCAAAAACCTCAGCAATGACTTTAAGAAAACCATTTGCTGGGTTATGACGCAAACGGTCAAGGGCAGGATTACAAGAAAAGTTGGCTTGGGTTGGAGTTTGAGCTTGAGACCAAGAACAGTCAAGAGAAGAACCGGATGAATCTATGTCATCCATTTCAATGCTTTTAGACCAGCCATCAAGGTTGGTCCAAGAATCATTATGGTTATTGGGGGCCATAGCCTGAGCTACGCGACCCAAATAAGGTCGAAACCTTGTTTTTTTTTGAAGATTTGGAAAACTCAATCTCAAACGATTTGGAAAGGGGAGGGATAGACAGGGGAGGGGAATGATATGAAGATTACAAAAGCGGATAAGAAGATACTTTTTTGTGATGATGGTTTTTTAGGATTTGGGATATGGATGATGAAGAAGGTGGTCGGTTTTTTTGGTTGATGGTGAGTTTTGAGTATACGCGGCTATCCCATAGGACCCAGGCCAGGGTCCTATGGGAGAAGCACTGACCTAAACCCATATTCATATGGGTTTAGGTTGCTGGTTGGCATGCAGCAGCGCATGCCAATTAAAATTGGCGGCCTGCTGGGGGAATGCCCGCGCAGAGGGTTGGCGTGTGGGTCCGCACACCAATTTCGATTGGTGTGATAGATTGCATGCGAGAAGTGGGAGGGAGTGTGATTAAACTCCCCCTCTCAAGATGGTATGGATTCCAGAGTATTAGAGAGTTATGTTTTAAAAGCCTTTTTTTCAAGGATCAGTATGGTTCCTAAGGAATCTGAATCACATCCTGTGTTCATGCATATCCCAAGCTTGTTAACTTGAAAACAATGTCCCCAGGTGAGCATCAAACCTGTCACTATCCCTGTTACTGGGACCATAACTTGTTAGGGCAGGCAAAGATGTAAGAGTCAGGATTACATATTACAGGACTAGTACATGCCCCCATCTTTTGGGAGTCTTATGGTTGGCACTGTATTTGCCCCATTTTGTTTAAGGGGCTTGGTTAAACGGCTCCCACAAAGTGGAGAGCCGACTCCCAAGCCCCGGAATCCCCGAAAAATGGGAGTCAAACCCCCAAAACCTTTGATTGGTTTGGGAGTCAACTCCCTAAGAAAAATAATAATAAAAAATAAAAATCCCCAGTTGGTTTGGGAGTTGGCCTGCCAAACCGACCAGGGTTTGGGGGTCAATGACCCAAAAGACCCAGGGAAGCAGCCGGGAGGATTCCTCCCGGCCGCTGAGGTACACTCTCAACGGCCGGGAGTTGACCCCTTGGCCGTGAGAGTGTACACCTCAATGGCCGAGAGTATTCCCTCTCGGCCATCGAGGGTATACACTCTCAACAGCCGATGGAAACCGCCTCGGCCATTGAGGTGTACACACCTCAGCGACTGAGACAATTCCTCTCGGCCGTTGAGGGTACACTCTCTCAATGGCCGATGGAAACCGTCTCGGCCGTTGAGGTGTACACACCTCAGCGGCCGATGTAAGACTCAAAAAGTGATTGTAAGATCATTTTTGCTGAATGGAGAAAGGGATGAAATGAGCTGCAAACTCTGCCTTTCTATATTATCAGAAAACAAGACCACCAAGGTAAGCTTGGCAGTTTGATTGGTGATAATGGATTATGTTCAAAGATGGTTGTATAATTGTTGAGGATTGATCTTGTTGTCCAAAGAATTGATTGAGTTGGTGATGTTGTTTCTCGTCTTGATGTCTTGATACTTGTGTTCTTCCTTAATGCTGTATATGTAACAGAGGTGGTTCTTGAACCCAAAGGGTCTGGGAGCACTATGCTTCAACCAGGACTGGAACAAAGGACTGGTTCTTCTGTGTAATGTTTGTGAAACTGTGTATATATTTCAACTGTTAACTGTACTAATTGTGAACCTCTTGTGTAATAAATATCTGTGACAGGTGTCCCACCAAAAATTTGTACTGAGTGGGATGAGGAGGAAAACAACTGGCAGGCAGAGGCCTCCTTATATAGTAAAATATGAGGGATTTTAGCCCCAGGGGACCCGCTAAGTGAGGCATTTTAGCTGCACTATCCTTGAAAATCCTGAGGGATTTTGGCTAGACTATCTACAACACATTCCTTTTATATGTAAGCTGTAAGAAAGGAATTCATGTGTTCTGTGGCTGAATAAATGAGATTTTAACTCGTACAACTGGTGGCCAACTTGTGGTTCTGTAAGTACAAAAGGAATTCAATATGGATAAAAGGAATTCAATATGCAATATGCAATATACCCTCCATCTGAGTGCCTCTGATCCTGTGATTCCCCTTGTGACATCCTTGATCCGTGTAGCTTCTGATCCAGTAGAGATATGAGGGTGGTTCCAGTGAGTGACTAGGGGTTAAATTGGCCGTAGATTCCATTTCTGACGTCCATTTTTCCAAATCTTGAGTCCTTTATTGATAAATAATGAAATTTTGAATTTTTCTCCCTTCATGCACAGGAATAATGACCACACCGAGACAATTGCTCTTGGCCGTTGAGGGTATACACTCTCGCCGGCCGAGGAAAACCACCTCAGCCGTCGAGGTGTACACTCTCCACGGCCGGGAGGCAGCTCTTGGCCGTTGAGGTGCACACTCAGCAGCTGAGTTTCTCTGAGTGTACACCTCAACGGACGTCAAGTGTACCCTCGGCCATTGAGGTGTGTACACCTCAACGGCCGAGATATTGAACGAGTGAAAAGAAAGGTTGTGTACTGTGGGACTTGAACCCACAACCTCAGCATTCATGAGTGATGCTCTGACCATTGAGCTAAGTACACATTGCCAATGTTGAATACATTTGTGATGTATGCTTGTGAAGATGTGATGATGACGTGGATCATGAAGAATTGCCTCCAATGCTGATTAGAAGTCTCACATGAATGTGTTAGCAATGTGTAACAAGCAGTGCCTGAGTTGGACACTTCAACACGAGACGGTTTCCATCAGCTGTTGAGAGTGTATACCCTCAACGGCCAAGAGGAATTGTCTCGGCCGCTGAGGTGTGTACACCTCAATGGCCGAGGCGGTTTCCATCGGCCGTTGAGAGTGTATACCCTCGATGGCCGAGAGAGAATACTCTTGGCCATTGAGGTGTACACTCTCACGGCCAAGGGGTCAACTCCCGGCCGTTGAGAGTGTACCTCAGCGGCCGGGAGGACTCCTCCCGGCCGCTGCCCTGGGTCTTTGGGTCATCGACCCCCAAACCCTGGGTCTTTTGGGTCATCGACCCCCAAACCCTGGTCGGTTGGCAGGCCAACTCCCAAACCAACCGGGGATTTTTATTTTTTATTATTATTTTTCTTAGGGAGCCGACTCCCAAAACAATCAAAGGTTCTGGGGGTTCGACTCCCATTTTTTGGGGATTCCGGGGCTTGGGAGTCGGCTCTCCACTTTTTGGGAGTCGTTTAACCAAGCCTAGAGATCGTTCGTCTGTACTTTTTGCAGGTACCTGGTACCTCCTGGGGGGTACCCCTCGCACCCGCCCCGCATCCTCCAGGAGGTGCCAGGTGCACTACTTGGTACCTATTTTTGTGAAAATTTGAACAGGTACCTAGGTACCTCTACAGGTACCCCCTCACTTCCCTACCAAAAATCAAAATGATGGTGGCCTTCTACTCCAAGAACTCCAAGATCCAAGAAGGTACCTTGGCTGCATGGAAACAGGGACTCAAGGATAAGAAGAAGTCTAACAAAAAATCAGAAAGGAAGGTGATGGTTTTGGATGACGATGAAGATTCTTCCAATTAGTTATAAGTTGTAGGTAGTTTAAACTTTGCAATAAATTATTAAATATGAAAAAATGAAAAAAATGACTTGGGACTGATGTTTTACAATAAATATGAAAAAAAATATAAGTAAGATTCTTCCAATTAGATGTAGATATATTACAACATATATCAAAAAATGCCAAAAAAGTGACTTGTGAGTGATATTTTACAATAAATATGAAAAAATAATAATAATAATAAAGTGACTTGGGACTCTGGGAGTGAAACTAGGTGAAAAAGAGAGGGGGGGTACCCGAGGTACCTGCAACAGGTACCTTGGGTACCCCCCGAGAGGTGTCTGGTGTGGTACATGGTATCTATTTTCTTGAAAAAATGAACAGGTACCTAGGTCTGAACAAACAATCTCTAACCAAGCCCCTTGTTTAATTGGGTCAATGACCTATTGGGTTTTTCTGGAGTTGCACACCTGTCCGTCTTGGTCTAACACCGACTTCAACAAATGGGACAAATGTGAAATGGAGGTCAACATTGGTGTTAGGTTGCATGACAGTTTATTTGGCTCTCTAAGCCTATTTTTTTAGTTATATGGTCTTGCAAGCCTGTCTGGGCATAATGTCAAGTCCCGTGTGGCCGAGTGCCACCAGGGGTTTGGATTGTGCCCAGAGGGCTTGATCAGACAGGATAGGCGGGGGGCAGGACTTGGCAAATAGCAAGTCCCTCTGCCAATTTCAACCCCTGGGCTGATTGGTAGCTCATGTGCACCAGCCTGGCACTGGGCCCCAACTCAGCAGCTGGCCTCCTTGGGGGCCGGCATGTTGGCGGGCGTGGCACCCTTGCTTGATATCGGCCAAGCAAGGCTTTGTCCCGACCCCCGTCAACTTTAGCATGTGCCAAGCGGGGGTTGGGATGGTGCCACAAATGCTTTAGGATTGGCCCAGCGCGCTTGGCCTTTTTTTGGCCGAACTTTGGTGTGTGCCCAGACGGGCTTGCAACACCATATGTAGATTGAGGATGATAATTGGTCAGGCTCAGGCCGCCCGTCTTGGGCCTCAGCATTATTGGGCAGGTCGGGTCAGGCCACATTCAGGAAATCAGCAGCCCGCCCCAAACCCAATTAGCCATTGGGCTGCCAGGGGGCAGCTGTGGGCTTGGGGTCTCCAAAAGACTGGATGGAAAGAAAAACACAAACCAGAGGTCCAATACTGACTTCTCCCTAGTCGGACCTGACCAAGCGCTAGGACCCCCCAGCAGGGCAACCCACTGCACCGGCCCGACGGGCGCCTGACGGGCAGCCCAAGTGGACCCAACCTTTATTTGGGTCATCTTGGGCCGGGCCTAAGTAAAAAATTACATCAAAATATCGGCCCAAACCCAGCCCAAACCTGGTCGGGTTTGGGCGGCCTGCTGGACACCCGGCCCAATTATCATCCTTATACAGGATAAAGAAACTATACTTATTTAGCTTGAGTGATAGGAACAGAGAGCAAGTTATGATTAATCACATGAAATACTACAGCTATTTTGGGAAGTCTTGTCCACTTGGACTTGCGAATTCTTTTTTATTTTTTTATTTTTCATTTTTTTACTGAACTGGACCTGTCAGAACTGAACTAGTGATGACAGCTGTACCTCCTCGGCTGTAGTTCAGTACAAAGAAAAATTTAAAAAATTTCAAAAAAAAAATGCAAGACAACTGGACAACCCTTTTCGAAATAGCTGTAATGCAAGAAAATGAGAACCAATGCTCATTCTTTCTTTTATTCTCTATCACTATATGTATCACCATTCATTATCAATCTGATGAGACTGTCACCTATTAGTTGTCACTGGCTTGTCTGTCTGACATTCTCAAAAGACATATTGTCTTTGGTGCGTCGACCTTGGACCTTGGTAACCTAGTTATTACAAAAGAGGTCCTCCAATATGTTACATTCATTTGTATGTAGAAGGTTGTGGATAGAAAAATAGGGGGAGGGGATGTCCTGAGACAGTCCATAGATGATCCTCAGGACGTCCCTGGGGTTTGGGAGTCGACTCTCTCTGTCCATGAGGCTGCTTCAGCCATGTCTTCAATCTTTTTGGTTTTGGGATTTTAAGGAAAACAATATACGAAGAATAACTTTTATGTGAAGCAGGAAATATGACGTTTGGTTGTATGACCCTGCCCTCCCTCCAGCCCATGTCCGGTCTTTGCTCCTGACACGAGTGAATCAACTTTCATCCGGGTTGTCTGGAAAGCATGTTGATATGTTTTTGGAACAAAGCGGATTATTTACCATGGCCATGATATCTCAGCAGCTCAGTGATGTCCCAGCGGACACACAAGAAACATATCGGAGTCAAACTTCTTGTGGCCCTTGACGGCCAAGAAATTTATCTACGTGCGAACTGATGATCTATGTAAGAGACTTGGTCCGGCCGTCGAGGGGAAGCTCAGACATGGAATAACTTGGAGAAAGGGCACCCCTCCCAACTGTCTCTTACAATCAAGGACGGCTTCAGAGCCCAGGGCACATGTCCATGTGTGCACAGCTCTTGAGTTGTGGTCTTGTTTGTAGTCGAGGACTCTGGGACTGTGAGTTTCGGTTGTGTGGCAACTGAACCTAGTCCGATATCTTTACGGTGACGATGGGAAGATAAGTTGTTGAGGTCTACAACTGCAACTGTCAAGAAACCTTTTTGATTACCAAAGAAACCCACAAACGTAATCAAACGATACCAGATATGTATTGAACCTCGGGTGCTCTCTTTGAGAAACATAAATATTTTTTTAATATTTCAAGCAACAGACAAACTTATGGCCATCATCTTCTAGACAACTGAGCTTCCTGACCCAATACCTTTCTAACGGGAGTGAAAGGCCCCGTAGCGACTCAAGTTCGAACATCACTCCGCTTTTTCCTCTTCGGCTGGGGTTCGAGGCATGCACCTGCCAGACTGATCGATTCGAAATCGCGGTTGCTCGATGAGGCACTCATTCTCGTAAAAAGCTGTTTATAAATAATAGTCTCTGCATTTTTCCCCAGGTCAGCCTTCTGATTCCAGACATCCTGATCCTGGCGCATACCCAGGCTGAACTGGCTTCTTGTTGGGCTTTACTCAGAGATTAACACAGCTCCTTTTTATAGGTTTCTCCCCGACCTTGTTTATACCTCCGGCAAGTTGTTGTGCATAAACATTACTTGGTACTTTTTTTTGGTCGTCGTATGTTATTTATACTCAACCCGATCTATCGAATACTCATTAGTACCCTTGTCGCCCTGCACTTCCCGTAACGTGCAGTCCTCTGACCTCACTAAACGAGTGGTACGACCGTTGGCGCTTTGTTTAGGCAGCATTCTACATACACCCAGCACTATTAAGCATTAGTTCCGCGGTGATCTACAACTCAGGTTAGTGCTAGGGCTCCGCCTGATTCCACGTGCTGACGATATAATACTCATGCCCTTCCATGTTCTCTGTTTGACAGTTTATAAAATGTCCTCGATCTTCAGTCGTCGTCACGGGCAAACGTTCACCCGCACTGGACGTTCCACACCTGATCTTCTTTCATCAAACGCTTCCAAGCTGGAGCAACCCAAACCTCCTGTCAATAGCCTTTATCACTTAGATGTAGTCGATGCTAGCTCAGTGATAATCCCATCAGTTATTACCTACTCTTCCCCTCAAACACCCGAGCACTCGATGTCTCCCGCATCTTCTTCAAGTCATAAATCAGTCCCTCCCCGTTCTCACACGGTGCAACCAACGACCAACAATATCAGTTTTCCTACGATGAACCCAAGCTCCGCGGGTCCATCGGCTGCTCAACGTCCCAAACGTGCACCGACACCGCCACCACCGTATGTTGATAATTTTCCCTCGCGAGATGGAGCAGATCATTCCCCTGTGACCCCTGTAGCATGCCGCTCAAGATCCCGAACTCCCTCTGCATCTACTTGGATAAAACGTGTCGTGTCACGTAGTTCCTCGCGTGCATCTCTTCGCAAACAGTATGAACAAATCCCAATGTCCGAAGAGGAGAGAATTGAAGCAGAGCAGGTCAAAGCTCGCAAAGCAAAAGAAGCCCTCGCCGAATGGAATCGAATCAATGATGCCCTCAAAGCTGCAGGATTTTGATCGCCGAGGAATCGTGGTGTTAAGACGGAAGCTGGATTGACCCCAACAGTACCGTTCACGTTACATCTTGCATTTTTGTATCGTGTGTAAAATGCGCAAAAGGTCACCTTAAAGTGACAATTCACCAGACCTTTTGCCGAATCTAAAGCGCAGCTAACCAACCCACTTCAATCAATAAAACAGCCGCTGAAAAAAAAATCTTTCTTTTTTAAAATCTGTCGCAATCCCTTAATTGTAAATAATCTATTATTCTGTTTGACAAGATATCTTATGATCTAACTTAACCCCCACACAGTCATCCGCTTGATGTGAACAATCACTTCCATCCATATGGGCACCCTGTAGTTACCTATGTCATCTCACTGTTTCAAATAATCTGTTCTAGCTTGTTTGAATCCCAACCTTGACAAATAAAAATGAGAGTAACAATTCTGTGACTTACAACTGCAGAGGCATGAAACATCAAATTTGAAAAAAGCTTTTCCTTTTGTCGTGTAGTTTGTTCTGCTCAGATAACTTGTCTGACAGAAATAAATACATTTTTTGCTGGCCAAATACAACAATTCCTTGAGTTGGGACAAAGCAACATTGAGTTTGATGATTTCATTATACTGTTAGCAGTATAATTTGTTTCTTGGGCCTCACCTGCAATAATTCAACTGTTTTCTTTGAATGAAAAGTTGCCTATTTCACCCTTTGATAATACAACAACTGAGCTATCCGGGGGTGAAAGAAATCAAAAATCCTGCCAGAGAATTCTTTCTCATATAATTTTCCTGCCCAAAGTCTTGACCATATATTGTAAAAATAAAAAGAAAACACTGCCATTTTAACTTGTATTAATTGGCTTACAACCAGGCATTTCTGCTCCAGATAAATAGAAAGTTATAATTATTGTTGACATACTATAGCATCCATTGTTGAAGATTTCATACAACAAGGTTATTCAAACTTGGAAAATAAATTTATAAACATAATTCATAAGCAATTTTGATTTCCATCAATGAATTTTGGAAGGGATTTGTAAGCAGTTCTGTGCCAAAGATTGTTTATGGAATAGATGTCCTAAAATTTTGATTTGTAAATTGCCAAAACAGGAAATATTCATTTAAGCAAGTCTCAGGAAGTAAAAAACTGCAGCCATTGGATGACTTCCCTTCACAATCTACAAGCTTCACAGAAGTCAATTTACACACTTGAGATCTAAATTGTTCATCAATTTTTTTTTCTGAAGCCTTCTAGCAATAGCTCTCATGTGAACTGGTTTTAATATTGATTGTGGTGTTGATCTAGGACTGAGAGAGGTCTAACAAGCACTCTAAATCAAGTCCTTTTAATTTTGGACCAATTCTGTTTGTGTGCCTGTTTGGCTGCAGGTGGATTGATTTGTTTTTGGTTGTGGGTCTGTGCATTTCCTTTGATCAACAGATGCTTCTTGTCTGGAATAAGATAACCTAATTTGTTTTGCTCAATTGTCCTTGTCCATCTGCAGGGCCATTTCACTAGCCAATCACTTCACCTTTGTTTTGCTCATTTGGTTCGGGTTGCTCGGTGAAGGGGTTCAGTCATACCCGTCTTAACGGGAGACCCCGCGGCTTCGGGGAGCTTGGATAACTCACCCCGGCCAGGAATCTCGAAACCCGGCATCTTCGAACAAGGCATACCGAGATTGGCCGAACGAATGCGAAGACGATGGACGCCGACGAGCCTGTCAACGAGCGATCCTTGAACGAAGCGATCCTTGAACGAATCGAGCTAAATAAATGTGCAAGTTGGGCTGTGATGATATACATCGAAAGTATGTAAATCTGCTAAAACAAGTTAGGCACCGAGAGGCTGTAGACTCAAACTGACGGTGGCCTGGGTTTTTGATCAAGAAATAGTCTTCTGATCAGACTGTCGACGAAGCCTTGGACGTGGAGTATCGCGATGGCAAGTCTGTTCCCTCCGCCGTCCTCCATCAACCAGCTGGAGCCTGGACCCGGGCGGAGCTTTCAAGGCGATCATCAAGGGACCGCAGGGACCAACAGTGAGACGCATTCAAGCTGAGGCTTGTGACTAGTCGCGCCTGTGGGCGTATCATCAAAATCTAGGACCTCATCAGCGGTGACCACAAGCTCGGTCTCATGGGCCATAGTCTCGCCATCTCAGACTCCGATCGGCACCCATACCTCTTCAGTTTTGGGCAGGATGAAATGCTTAAATCTTGTGATGTCCAACTGAATAAAATCATCCGCTATTTTCATGACCACTCGAGTGACGTTTACTTTCCTAGGTAAGTTGTCCTTTTGACCCGTTGAAGTCAATCTTTACTGAACCCAAACCTCTCTGACATGTTTACGAAAAAAAAAGTAGCCTTTACCTGTCTTTTGACGTGTAGACTAGAGGATGGGACTGCACGTGTGCTATTTGGCCACCCACTGACATGAAGGCGATGGCGGATTTGAAGTGTTAAGAGAGACTTGCACAGATGATCAGGAGACGGATGAACTCGACGAGTCGGCAAGAGGTTCAGCACCATGCAGTTTGGGCATTTTTCTTTCCAGCATCTCGCCAGAGAATCGATCTGCCCCCAGTATAGGTTATGGGATTTGGCTGCCGAGCGGACGATGGCCCAGTTGACTTACCAACACGAGTGACTTCTGTGATTGTTTGCTCAGCTGATAAAGAATCGATGACTTGGAAGCACAAGGCTGGCTTGTCCTTTCGAGCGATGATTGAAATCCCTGAGTGAGGCACATTATCCGGGGGGTGTTCTGTGCAAGCACCATTGATGCCGCCGGGACTGGGCTGATAAACCCATTAATTAATAAGAACTGGTCTCTGGAGTAAACATCCTGACCGATCTCCTGTGATGTATCAGTGTGATCGTATTTGTTTCTTTTGTATGGAGTTTGTACAAAATACACTGCTAGCTACTTACAATGCAATGCAACTTTTAAACTTGATATCCTGACCGGTCTGTTGGTTATGTTTATGTTATGTTGTGGAAGTGTGAATTTGTTTTTCTGGTCCTACACTCCAGTGGGATCCACCGAACATCGGCCATGAACCAGGAAGACTCAAGTCGCAGGGCAGCCACCCTGAGCACTGCTCGCTCGCCCACCTTCTTCACCCACACCGACATCCAGGCCCAACTGCAGAACCTGCTCCTCTCCAGCTCATCCATCTCATCCACACTCTCGATCGACAACGAACATCTCGACCAACTGGCGGCGATCATCAGGAACATCCACTTATCAAAACAGCAGGACGCCTTCCTCAACCATCTCAACAAGTTCATCATCCAAAAGGAAGCAGAGATAGAGGCCGTCTCTCGTGGCCACTATCAAGTCAGTCCATCCATCCTATCCATCCAGTACAAAAAAAAAAAAACATGCTTAGACTACCACCTCGCTGTTTCAACAGGACTTCTTGGGTTCAGTCGATAAACTATTAAGCGTTAGACAAGGTACCATCTCCTTAAAATCGCACGTCGTCTCACTCGATGCGTCATTACAAACATCAGGCACAAGTCTGGCAACCGTCCGCTCATCACTACTCGATGCCAGGAAGGTATCAACCAACATCCAAGAGACCATCGAGACCCTACAATCCTGTCTCAAGGTCCTCGACCTGTCCAAGAAACTCAGCCAACAGATCTCCGAGCGCAAGTTCTACTCAGCCCTGCGCTCGCTAGACGAGCTCCAATTCGTACATCTCAAGCCTCTCCTGGGCTTTGCCGCCTTTGCCGGCTACCTCGGCGAGGCTCTCCCGAACGAGAAGATCAGGATCAGGGAGGAGGTCACCAAGCAGCTCAACTCTTGGCTCTATGACGCCCGTCAACAGAGCCAACAGCTCGGACGTCTCGCTCTCGAGGCACTCGAGCTCAGAGATCGTCGTTGGAAGGCCCGTAAGGATCGCCTGAATACACAAGATACCGCGTCGATGGCCTTGCTCGTCAATCTCAACACCCCCGTTGAGATCGCCGTCAGTGAACGTCATGACTGTGTGTTTATTTTCCTTTCATCTCCTACCCTCCTCTGCTCTCTACCCTTGGAACTCTTGAAGTGAATTAATCAAGAAAATTGCTTCTATGCCGTTTTTCAGATCATGTCTTAGATTCTGGCGATGGAAGCCTGATCGATTTCGGGCCACTCTATCTGGCGATCCACATCCACGAGACCTTAGACGCGAGGGAGGAACTCCAGAAGTCTTTCCGCGACGACCGACGTGCTCAAGCGCACTTGATCCTCGCTTCGATGTCAAGCAATAGTGGCGGTTCGTCGGCATTCACACTCGACTCACTGGGCGCGTTGATCGAACAGATTGCTGGCTTCTTCATCATCGAGGCCCAGATCCTAAGGACCACCAAGGCCTTCAGAGACGAAAACGACGTCGATTCCCTGTGGGAGGAGCTCTCCGATCGCATCGTTTGCATCGTCCGCCTTGGACTCACCAACTGCTCCGATCTAGACTTACTCATGGGTGTCAAGGCCAGATTACTATCGTTTTCTCAAGCATTGGAAGTAAGATTTTTTCTAATCTTGCCTGATTTTTCATCTTTGATTGGTTAATTCCTTGGTACTTATGAACCCATCTCCAAAGTCATACAACTATACAGTCGCGCAATTTCATGAGCTCTTGAGCTCATTATCGACAGAATATATCGACCTGTTGTTCAAGAAATTCTCGGTCGAGTTCGAGCAGTTTATCCAAGAAGATGATCACCAACCAATGCTGGTGCATAACGCGGACGAGTTCTCGAAGGTAGTCGAAGTGAGCTTCTTGCCCAACCACGGGATCTGGACCAAGGCTGAACTGGCCAAGTTGAGTGTCCACATACCTCTCTCGCACCCCACCACATTTCTGGAACTAACACCTTTAACCTGGTTTGTTTTGCACGCACCCGCAGACAGACCTTTCCCACCGCGCTGCCTTTCTCTCAAGCATATCCTTTGTGTTGCATCCATATTCGAAACTACGTCACCAATCACTACGCCTACTGTGAATCGATCACCCGGGACGCCGATGACTCCATCCGGAAAGTAAGATCTTTCTATTTTCAGCCATGCCCGCCTGTGCAATCGACATATGATCCTGACTTTCTTTCTTTCCACGCTGCTTGGCTGTTCAAGTGCTTGGATTCTTTGTTGATCTCCCATGTCGGCTTGCACATGTTCAGCCAAATCAATCTGACCAAAAACTTATCCCAACTGGCCCAAATCGTCATCAATACCTTATTCTTCTTGACAGCATGTGAGGGATTGGAGGCGATCTTAGTCCAACTAAGGTCAGTCTGACGACATATAACATGCGCTTGAGGTTGGATAGGAAACTGAGAGAGTATACTCCCGATTGGGAGGATAAACTGAAATTCTTCTCTAGAGTCAGTGCCCGGTTTATCTCGCCCGAGTTAGAGGCCAAAGCAATGTTCAAGAAGTTGTTGAAGACGGGCGAGCAGAAGATATTAGGAGAGATCCAGGAGAAGATCCAGGATTTCTTCGAACTCTCGGAGTATGACTGGCGGCGGAAGACGGCGATCGAGCCCGGGGATCAGACGGATGATGGAGGCGGCCGGGTTAATGAGCAGGAAACTAGCGTCTATCTCAAGGAGTGTCTCAGCTTCATCGATACTCTGATCGATAACGTCCTCGTCCTCACCCCCGTCGACTTTAACGAGAACATCTTCTTCGGCGCTTGGATGTTCATCGGCCAACGATTAAAGGTCTTCTTTCTCTCCACTCTACTATTCTTGAGATAAAACTTGAACGAAAATTGATTGTGGTCTGTGCGTTAGTCGTTCTTGATCGATAGAGAACCCGCAGCGATCTCCGACGGCGGCTTGTCCGTCCTCATGAACGACATCCATTTTGCGTCCCATCGGCTCCGCAAGTCTCCCTTCTCATCCTCCGCTTCGAATACGTCCTCCTCCCCGATCTCCCTAGAAGTCCATAAGTTTTTCAGGGAATTGGTCCAAGTTCAGTTTCTCGCTTCTTCTCCTGTGGTTGGAATCGATTTTCCAGAGAAAAAAACTTACTCCAAACACGTTCTTTGTAGACCGTCAATTTGTTGGCAAGTCCTGATGTCGGCAAGTATCTCGACCTTGATTATCGGGCGATGAAGTACGATCTAGTCCGATCGGAATCAGTTAGTTTTTTTTCGTCCCTTTCATCTCATCTACACCCTTCCATATCTCTCCACACCAAGGCGAACACATCATTCAAGATTACATTTGTTGGTTTATCTTTCTTTGTGACAAACGATTGATTGGTGTACTATTCCTTGGTGTTTTTTAGTTGCCGTTGATGTTGGTCAAATTATTGACGTGTATGAACTCGGTGGGCTCGAATGTGGATCCGATCCGCAAATCTTCCGTCGTCAGTTTCTCCTTCCTCTTTCTCTCTATATGTCTAATTCTCGATTGATGGTATGCATTCCTGATCTGTGTGTATGGTCATGTTTACAGCAAGAGGTTTTGAAAGCACTTTCTCCATAGGTCGTTTGAAGAAACCGCGTGTTTTTAACTTTATCCATCTTTGTCTATCTATCATGTAGTTGTTCAAAAGTCTTGGCTGTACTTATACACATAACATGTAGATATTTTATACAAAAGAACTGGCCTCAGTTTACTTTCAACATTGATCCTTTTTGATTTGTCTTTTGTCACCTGTTAAAGCACCCTTTCCACAACTAATTTATTGTTCATTGTCGCCATCATTCTCTCCAGATGCCTAGTCTTCTTTTGGGCATCAGTAAGAAACAGTTTCAAACAAGCAAGAACATCAAAATATCATTGACAGAACACCCAACAGTGAGTTTTGAGGCTTGTGGTCACACTCAACTTGGCACAAGTCCCACGATTCGCAACTCCAGTCTTCATCTGAAGGGAGCAGGACTATATGAGCAAACATCTCCTGAGGAGAATATCGCCGTGCTCTAAAGCAAGTTGTAAATATTTACGCAAATTGCTTGCACTTGATGTTCTGCTATGTATAAGGGTTTTTCAACATTCTACATATTCTTCAGTTTTAAACAAAACTGTTTCGCGATGAGCTGCGTATCGTCCGTCATCTTGGAAGCATCGTGATAATATCCATTATGTAACTTGAGTTTTTAAAAGGCTACATAGTGGGAGTAAACACTCCCGATGAAACGCTGCTAAGCCTCACCAAGGTCCGAAACCTATAATGGAGACCAAAAGCAATGACTTCATACCAACTGCGCAGATTGTGTATGCACATTGCGACTTCGGGCTGACATGGAAGCGAGTGATACAGACCGGAAGCTCGGAACGGCCCGGGGGAGCGACAAGAGTTGGAACACGGAGAGCGCAGATGTGAAAACGGTTCGAAAGCAGTGACACTCGAGTAGCATCCCTGAATGATGAGGCAATCACAGTGCAATCACAGCTCAGTCACAGTGGACTCGTCTGTGCGCCTGACCCAGTCCAGGGGGGTTCGATTGGAATGGGCTCGATCGGCTTGTGTTCCCGATTGCAATTACGTAATCCGCAGTCGACCCATCATCCCTGTTGACCATATCCTGCCTCTCCCGTCCACTCCGCCCCCTCTGCCAGTGCTACCACGTCCCAGTCCCACTCCTCCCCTCCTCCATCCAACCCTGCCAGTTGATAATAGCCAAGCAGTAGTAGGAAGAGAAGCCATATCCACACTTGCTACTTCTTTGTACGTCCGAGCTCATCCCTCCCCTTTCCTCTCTCTTTCATCCTCCTTGCCTGGTCTCGTTGCTTATCTTCCCTTTCGCTCTTCCTCATTGGTCCCATCGGCCTTTCTCCTTGACTGAGCCAGTTCAAGTACATCTTTCAACATGTCGGTAAGTAGCTGCTGCTCCCGATGAGCCTCCTCTTTGATCCCCCCCCCCCCCCCTGTACTCCAGCGATCGATTACTGACACTCTATTCAAACAGTCTCCACCAAAGGGCAAGAGTGCCCAAGAATTCTTCAGTCAGGCCAGATTCCTTCATTTCGCTGAGGGTTATTCCGATCAGCCGGCACCCGCTCCCCTTTTTGGGGAAGATCACTGATCGTCATCTTCATATCCTAGATTTTGCTCTTGTCACAGCCCGATATTCATGATGGGTGGGGTCTTCCGCCGCGGTGCCCAAGACCGCCGCAGCACTCATTGAGCGAATCAAACTACTGGTCCAGAACCAGGGTGAGATGCTCAAGACCGGTCGTTTGGACCGCCCTTACGCCGGCATTGCCGACTGCTTCAAGCGTACCTATGCTGACGAGGGTGTCGTTTCGTGTACGTAATTGATAACCTCGGGTCGTCTAATTATTTACCTAGTGCTGACGGACTATCGGATCATCCGATCTCGATCATTCAGTATGGCGTGGGAACACTGCCCAACGTCATCCGATACTTCCCAACCCAGGCCCTCAACTTTGCCTTCAAGGATTACTTCAAGTCCCTGTTCGGTTACAAGAAGGAAAAGGATGGATACGGACTCTGGATGTTTGGTAACTTGGCCTCCGGTGGTGCCGCTGGTGCCTCATCCCTGCTCTTCGTCTACTCGCTCGATTACGCCCGTACCCGATTGGCCAACGACAACAAGTCGGCCAAGAAAGGTGGTGAACGTCAATTTAACGGTCTCCTCGACGTCTACAAGAAGACCTTGGCATCCGATGGAATTGGTGGTCTTTACCGTGGTTTCGTTCCCTCAGTCGTTGGTATTGTTGTCTACCGTGGTCTCTAGTATGTCGATGCCTCTTGCTTAGCTTGGTTTCCCAGCTAGCAGTTAATGAATGATACCTTTCCCTCCTGATAAACAGCTTCGGAATGTACGATTCGCTAAAGCCCGTCGTTCTTACTGGAACCCTCGATGGAAGCTTCTTGGCCTCTTTCCTCCTCGGATGGGGTGTCACCACTGGTGCTGGTATCGCCTCTTACCCCCTTGGTAAGTCTATTATTATTATTTTTTTTAAACCAAAGGTGCACTACCAGCTGACAGTCGTGGATGTCTTCAGACACTATCCGAAGACGTATGATGATGACCTCCGGAGAAAAGGTTCACTACAAGGGAATGGTTGACTGTGGTACCCAGATCGTTAAGGCCGAAGGTGTTGCTGTGAGTATCCAAGTATAAGTAATATGTTAGATCCAGATGGTTGCTAACTTGTCTTCCTTTTTTCACTACCAGTTCTTGTTCAAGGGTGCTGGTGCTAACATCCTCCGTGGTGTTGCCGGTGCTGGTGTCTTGTCAATGTATGTATCCACTTGCACGCCCTGAAACCGGTTTTTGATCTAACCCTTCGCATGTATTGATCACAGGTACGACAAGCTCCAAGAGCTCCTCTTCGGCAAGGTCTACAAGGGTGGATCAGGTTAAACAATTTACCTTGTACCCAGTACTTAAAATAATTAATTCACTAGACTCTCAAATTGAGAAAATGATTTCATTCCTACATACGTGTTCAATGTTTTTGCATGATGTTGCCCTCCTCGGTGCTATTCAATTGATCATCCATCAATTCTTGGTCCTTTTTTGATTTGATTATTGTTTGATGACTTTGCAATGGTGACGAGTTTCCTTCTAGATTACTGTGTCCCTTGTCGCTCTCTCCCTTCTCAAACGGACCGATTTGTGTTCGGTTGAGTTGTCAGGCATTGATGCTGCGATTAAGTATGGCGTCTAACCTGTTCGTGGAATTGTTCAGAGCTAAACGCGATTCATCTTCATAAAGCTTTCAATCAGAGCAGCGATGTATCATTAACAAATGCCTGCTTGTTAGGACCAGCAATGTATGACACTAAGTCTTCATGGGACTGATTCGCCGATCATTCATCGATCAAATCACTATCATGGAGTTGAATGATACTCATAGCCTGGTTCAGATGCGCCGGTATATCATTAACAGCCTACTGTGGCTTGCAGCCTTGCGATGATGCGACTGGTTTGGGGCAGCAGTAAAGGACAAGGAAAGGAACACAAAGTACAGTAAGGTTATCCCCATCACTGGATCATCATCAATGGTGGACTGTGTAATGCAGGAAACTAATGCGAATGGAGTGCAAATACATTCTCAAACATCCCAGCTGCAAAGATGGTTTAGAAATAAGAGATTCGCAACCTTTGATTCTCTAGGGTTATGCATTCCATAGCTCCTGATTACCCTCTTTGGGCCTGATAGTGACTGAACTAATCCTCCCGGGACCAAATGTGCAGAGCACCCCAATGCGAAGCATCTCCCTCCCCCAATGGGGCTTTTTTGGAGAAACTCAGAAGTCAAACGACCGGTGCCTTCCTCAGTGATAAGGGGCCTGAACCCGAATGGTGGGCGGGACCCTTAAGACCTTGAGTGATCTGCCAGGTTGAATTCCCGGTTTCTACGTGGTTCATCCGTCCACGTCCACAGCTGCCCACCCACCCATTGCAGGTAACATCTCCTCTGACACATTCCCTTCGTGTTTTTTTTTGCCGGTGCGGGAATTCATTACGGCTCCATAAACAAAATTTGTTAAAAATTTCTTAAGGTAATTTGTATGTCATAATTTCACTGAATTTTACAACTTAAATAATAACTGATGTTTTGTTTCCAGAATACAATCCTGATATATTCTCTGGTCTTACACCTTAAAAAGAAACCAAATTCATTTTTTCCAGAGGTTTTTTTGAGAGGAGCCCAATGAGTGGACATTATTTTGATGCAGCATCAGCGGCTCCAATTATACTCTTAACCGCTGGTTGAGTTTAATTCGTTTGCAAAAAAAAAGAAAAGAAAATGCAGGGCGTGACTCGTCAGTTTTCAAGTTTTCTTACTGGGACTTGAAGGAATATAAAGAAACTGTCTGACCTTCCAGAGTGGGCTTCCTTATCTCGAGTACTTTGTCCACTTGCTTTGAGAAGTTAGCGCCAGTACCACCAGTCTTCAAAGCGCGAATGGCAGCACTATTAATAATTTTTTTGGGGGGCGAGATTGGGTAAATTTTGCCAAAATGAAAACATAAAATCAGTCAAACCAACCTGTAGAACTGGCCAACTGAGAACGCTTTGAAAACACAAACTTACCCCAAGGAGGGTCCTGCTTTTTTAATCGCAGCAACGTTGCTCTGGACTGCAGAATTGTTTGGAAGAGCCTTGCCAATTTCATCCCTGGGACCAGCTTCAGCTGCTACCTGATAAACTCATTCTCATAAAATTAGACTCTAATCCTTCCGGTGCAAACAAAACGGAGCCGAAATCCTAACCGGAAGTTGGTTGATGAACTGCAGTGCTTACAATTTTCATGATTCTATCAACCGCAGCTGAAACGCTTTGAGGGTTGAGTTTTTTGAGATCTTGGAGCCCCTTAGTCACTTGATTAGCTTCTGTATTCAGCCTTCTGGCGGCTTCTCTGAGTTTGAGAGATTTGTTGCTTCCGCCTGTCGTAGCGGCTTTTTGGGTGGCAGCAGTTGTACCTGCCGGTCTAGGACGAGTATTCGTAGTGCCGGTGCCGCGATTTTGGCGCTTGGTCAGATCCTGTGAAAACTTTGTTGCACTGCAAAAAAAAAACAATTCTCCCTCCGGTAATCAGTGTTTCCAGTTTGAAGCAGGCAGCAATGTGCCAGTAAGGCTGCACGAACCCGGTTAACAATAGTCGTCCATCGGGTGCGGGAGCTATCTCAAGAGGGTAAGAGCTCGTGAATGCATAATTGATGAGATTATAGAAACCGATGAATGATAATGTGTAACAATTTATGATGAGCATGATTTGGCTGGTTGTAGAATAAAAACCGGAGCTAATTGAAATTGTCTACGAGTTTGATAATGATTTCAGATAAGTTTAATGTGTTGAAAAATTGAGAATAAGATTGTAGTGTCAAAATAGTTTAAGAATATGTTAATTAGGGTGATAAGCACGAATTAAGAAGTGTTATGTAATTGCGTATTGAATGCTTCCCTTCAAGCCTGCCTGAGTGAGATGGATGGGACTGTGGAATCTGATGCAATGGGTGTATGAGCAGGTCCGTTTTAAGCTAAGAACAAAATTGACCATTTATGTAGCAAGACACCAGCGGTTTGGGTGATGGAAATGAGGTGCACAACTGCTGGCAACATTATTCCGATGGTCACTTAGGAAATTCCATTACGATCACCGAGACTCGGCTTGGGGAGAGAGCCGGCAATGGGGCAGGCCGGAGCTGATGAATCAACAGTGCATAGCTTTTCACTCATGGCTACCACAGCAACTAAGCCGAAGACGAGGAATGGTTGCTCAGTCTTGATTAGCAAAGGGGGGCATAAAGAAGGAGCGGGAATTAAGATAACATCAAGTGCTTTCATAGCAACAGATGAAGTATAGCATGTCATTCATTGTGCAAAATGTCACGTGAAGTTATAACTCTAGCAACTTGAGTCAATATCTTCTTGTTCTGCATTCTGCTCCGCACATTCATTACCAATCCATCTTTAGTTCACTCCCCTGATCCCTGATGAGACACTGGGAACGATGAACACGATGCAGTTGACTGTTCATTAGTTTAAAAGGATGTGTATTTTGTAGGTATATGAAAGAGAAACAGAACAAGACTGGAGTTGTACCTGACTCCAACGTTTCGGCTGCAGTGTTGGGGTTCAAAATAGTGTTTTTTTTTTGCTGCTTGAACAGCTAAAACATACTGCTTGAGTATAATTTTCAGCTTAAAATTGACCGCTATCCAAACGCAGCAGCTCAACTGAGCATTGACTGTAGGTTGCTGAGGTCTTCACTTGTTAGGATAGGACCCCAACACAACATCAGGGGAAGTGTTGTATTCTTTGCTTACACCTGCAGTAGTGAAGATCAATTCTGGCAATAAGTGATTGTGAACACTGCTAATACCTTGCTTAGCTTGGGAAAACATTAAGCATGGCTGGGTATTGTTAATTTTTGTGGGTAATATACAAGAAAAATGGATTGAAGATTGTCTTTATAAATATTTAGTTTAATACCAGGGGAAGGTGGAGGATTTCCAAAATTTAATAGATTTTGACTGAATGAGGACAGTTCTCCATCCCCTGCCTCTGTGAGCTTTACTTCTACACTTGCTGTCCTTCTTTTATTAATTCAGTATTGGCTTTTTTGAAAGAAGAAAAAAAAATGCAAATAATGACAGTAAATCGGTTCAAATAAGTCAGAAACTCTTCAAACTTGATTTAATGAGATCAAGACATACCTCCTAGGAGAGGCTTCCTCAATTTGTTCACTTCTGCCAGTTGATCATCTATGGCTTTGCGAGTTGATTTGGGATCATTAGCCACATCCTTCAATTTCTCAAGGCCCTTGCTGTTTGTTTGGGAATTGAATCAGTACACTACATCGTCAAAGATTCAAATGTCATGAAGAGCACTTACATCAAATTTGGACCGTTTTTTTGAACAGTGGCCAGAGCTGAAGTGACTTCACGATCATTAGGCTTCGCACTTTTAATCGCCCCTCTGGCAGTATCTTCGGCTTTTTCCTGGGGAATTACCATTCAGGAAGGTCGATCAGTTTCGATTAAGATTCTTTGTAAACCCAATTGATAGAGGAAGTCAAATAGACGTACAATGCTCAAGATCCTATCAACCTCCTTCACAATTTGGTTAGGTTTTTTCCCATTGATGGAAGCCAGGCCGTTCGATACTTCCGCAACTTGTAGTTTCAAATCAGCAGCTCCACGTTTGCCCCCAGCCTGAGCCTGAGCAGCCTGTCCGGTCCCTCTTGAGCCACCACCGCCTCCGGCCGCTTTGGTCCCTCCGCCGCCTGCCGCAAGCAAAGCTGTGGTATCTGTTTTAGTATTTGGTGATTTGTTGGCACCAGTGTTTTGTAATTTATTCACATCAGTTTTTTGTAATTTATTTGCACCAGTGTTTTGCAATTTATTTGCACCAGTATTTTGCAATTTATTATTAACACCAGTGTTTTGTAATTTATTCGGACCAGTGTTTTGTAATTTTTTCACCCCAGCGTTTTGCTTTGTTGCTTGGTTCTGAGTTGATTTTTGTTGGACCTTGACAGGATTGTTGTTACCGCCAACCTTTGCAGCAGTGCCACCCCCCTGTTTAGGAGTGCTCCCGCCGGTTTTTGGAGGAGTGCCACCCCCACCACCCTTAGGTGAGCGTTTGTCAATGATCCGCCTGCGTGTAATCATCTCGTTAGTCCTCATCGCAGCCCCTCCTTCGCGCTTCATGATCATCGCGAGCTTGCGTCGGACTCGAACCCTCCTGTTCTCTACGTCTATCACCGGGCTGAAAACAGCCCCAATAGAGTTGACCATGTTTTTGTTTTTGAAAAGGATGAATTTGTCAGCTTAATGCTCCTAATTCGTGTGCGCTTTTGAAAAGTCAACTAAGCGGAAAGATTTGTCTGGATAAAAAAAGCTTGTCTTTCTTTAATAGAACATTTACCCATTGGTTACTATTACTGATCGTCGTCCATTCGCAAGGGGAAAAGATGGAGCGCGATTTGCCGGAAAGGCCCATGTAAAGCTTGCGAGAGTGAAGACATTAATCAGAGTAACCAATAAAATGCATTGATATTTTTGTAACATCTCATCAAATGATCAGTTATTATAAAAAGATCTACAAACTTGAAGTCGAGAGAAATGTTCGTAGTCGGTAAATAATGAAAAAAAGTTAAAAGTATATCACTCCCTACAGGCCTGCCTGGGTTAGAAGAAAGAAGAGTAAGAACAAAAACTATAAAAATAAGAATGAGATGAGACAAGCTCTGGTTCCGAAACACTTGTCGCAGGTAAGTTGAGGGGAGATAAATATGTAGAGAAGGAAGATGCTGGGAACACAAGTCACCGGGCAGAAGGAATGAAATGTCATACTTGATCCGAATTCCTAGAGTTGCCTCCAATGCGCTTTGTCGCTTTATTGTCTCGAATCCATGGTGTCGGTAGCTATGCAGAACAATAAAGTGATCGTCAGTTTGATCAACTGATCGTTTGAGTCCTGCTACAAGAATTCAAAAATTCCTCAATTGCTATGGAGATTTCTTGAAGACCCGAACTGATTGGTATGACTTATGAGCACACAAACTGTGCAATTTTTTCAATCGAATTCCAGGTAACCATAACCCGCTGGACAGCCATCGTGAATTATCCCAAATCTTGTCTTGCGGGCGGGACGGCTCTAGGCTCTGAACGGCGATCAGTTCTCCATGATGACCCAGAGCCAGTGCCCAAACGAATGCTCCTTGTTTTTTCTTCGTTTGCCATACATGGTGACTAATTATTGAAAAAAATATCGCGAACTTGAATGGGGTACATAATGAACCTCCCACCTCCCCAATACTTTCAAAATTTATAACTCTGTGACAACAACACATTCTTATAATGACTACTCAAAACCACAGGCAGTCAGATGGTGAACTCGGTCTTTCCTTCTGTGAACATTTTTATTTTATTTTCTATTCTCTTTCCTTCTGTATTACCTAGTTGATCCAGTTCTTTTTGATGACCAAAGCAAAATCCAAGTACCTGACCAGCAGGTTGTTGATGGTGAAAAATAGAAACTATACCAAAAGGAAAATGTTACTGTGGTTGATAATTGTTTGTGATCTTTTGATGGTGGTATGTATTGTGGGATTCAGGAATGCCATTTAACATGCATGGGGGTGCTATATAAAAGCTTTCCCAATGTGAAGATGGCCTTTGGCCAGGGACTAAAAGTGTGCCACAGTTGAGTGATTTCAAAATATAGTTGCTCAGATGGTTCCATCCGGTGGAGATGGTCTCAGTGGAGGACTTCCCGTCGGAATCTGCGGGTCCCCCAGAACCAATCTAGAGCCTCAAAAACCAAATTCCCCTGCGAGAATCTAGAGTTTTCGAGTCTAGATCGACTTCTGCGAGGGCTCCAGTTTGCACGGGAAGTCCTCCAGTAACTTCCTTATAGAAAAACCTGATGGATTTGTTTGTGTTAAGATCATTTGGACCAGTCACCAAATCTATCCTCCTCCCAGAACTGTATACATCTTCTGCTAAATAAAAATACTATATTCACCGCAAGAGATCCTGTTTGGATTCTTTTAGGAGGTCATACTCAGAAATTGTTTTGGAAGGATTTTTCAGAAAGAACCGGAAAAATGTGAAATAGTCATAAAAAAGGGCCCTGAAATTATAACAAAAATGGCAGAAAATTTTTTGTTCAGCTAGTTGGTTTTTTGCTGATAGATGACCACTCTATGAGTATGGGGTAGTTGCTTGCTGAGGTCCAGAAAACCACTTTCTAATTTGGAGGTGTGCCTTATTGAAGAGTGTGGGATGATCCTGACTGCTGAGATAAGCATTCCTGACAGCCTTCAATTGGATCATGTTTGTGTGAGATATCTTTGTTGTCCAATCTGATCAGAAGGCCACATCCACCATGAGCCAATGAGTTCCCATAGAATATGGGGATGCATCGACCTACAAGTGGGACTGGGCATAGATTTTTGCCAGGATGGAGGTTACAACGTGGAAGTTCATAGTTGCACCATGTCACTGTCAAGTGATTCCCACAATTGTCGGTGGGGCACAGGTACACAGGCCGGGAAGGAGGGGCAATAACACTGTTGAGTGTCATTCTGGTCACTATTCCAACAAGGGTAATTAGTTGCCAATAAAACATCTTCAGAAAGTGTTTCAACAGGAATGTTTGGTTGGGGGTTTGAACTTGCAGCCAGCAGGATTGTAGGTAAGTGTATGTATGGAGGCTTGAGTGCTGACAATTGGACTATGGAGTCACAATTACCAGAGGTTGCCTCATCAATTAAAAACACTGGCTCAGTGATCCTCAACCATTACAGGGTTGAAATTGTTTAAAGTTGAGTTACAGGTCTCTTTTGATAATCAATGTGATGGCCAGACCCACTCTCAGCTTATCTTGACATTCAACAAAGCATATTTGATCAGGCTCCAACTCTTCTCAATCAATACCACCATGGCCATCCACTTCTTGGCACTCCAATCTAACTGCTACTCCATTAGACAACTCAGCCATTTTGGAACTGCTGAACAACCAGAAACAGAGCTTTGAGGGGAAATAGACAGCTTCACTACTAGTAATGTAAGTTGTGACTATGGATGCTGATGAGGCTGCCCTCTAAAACTAATTCTGAGGAGAGAGGGTTACATTAAGAACTAAGAAAGAGGTGTGATTAATTTCTATTTAATTCTTAGGCTACTATAACTATTGAGTTTGTTCCTTATCTGTCCCACAGGGGAATAATTGAGAATATGAGGGTTGTAAATAAAGCAGAGCTCTAAGGACACTGAGTGTAATGATATTTCTGGGGACAAAGCACCAAACAGGGCAAGGTCACTAATATTAGTTCTGAAAGTAAAATAGATTTTATCTGAGGGGCACAATAATATCTGTAGGATAGAAATTGCATAGGGGGTGTATAAGTGATAAAAAGACTGTATATATACTCTAGGGTGAAAATGAGCACATATTACAGTAATTCTGGCTATGGGAACAACATGTACATATGTAGCACAAGAGATGTGAAATTTAAACAACCACACAGGAGGGTGAGTAAAGAAAAACAATCCCAAAAGGTGAAGGACTGTGAATGAGTGTACTACGGTGATCCTATGAAGCATATGAGAAAGCATAATTTTAATGAGTGCAGCTGAGAAAAATATATATAATATGTAATATTTAATGTGAAAAGAAATGCTGTAAAGGAGTGTAGCTGATGTAATGAGAAGAAATATATGTAAAAGATAGTACTTGTGAAATGAATGATGTATGTAGCAATCTGTAAATATGTACTGTATGTAGTTAATGTGTAATATAGATGTAAAGAATAATATCTGTAAAAATAAGACTGCAGATAACTAGTGATCCAGTAAGAGATGAGATATGGCTTGAGTGAGTGACTGTAGGTAAAAAAGGGTGTAGAATCTGAATAAGCAGTAATAATGTAATACTTACAAGTGAGTGTACAGTAAAATAATAGATGCTGTGGAAAGGTATGGGTTACCACACCGTTCCAGACCACCCAGATTTGCCTGGTTCAAATACTGGGCATGCCAAGTCCAACTCCCATGGACAACTGAAGAAAATAAAAATGGGGTGTCTTTTATTTGGGTTCAGGTTGTTTCTATATTCTCCAAGCTGATTATTTGGGAATGTGATTGATGAAAGTATGGATTTCCGTGTGAAATCCCTGCAGTCAAAAAAGTGATGAGAGGATAAAAACCTAGCTGCCACAGTATCCCAAGAAAGAAAACAGATCAAGATTGAGCAGCACCAACTGCAAATTGAGGAGGGTGATGCACAAGTCCATCAAGTCCAAGCAAACACCAACCAAGTTTGCTAGCAAACAGCAATCATTATTTATTTGAAGGAAGCTGGCTTTTCAGATGAGGACATCAAGAGTTTTCTCAAGGCCCAACCCAAACCGCAGGCTGCTGAGCCAAGCAATACTGACAGTAGTGATGTTGATTCTGAGCTTGGTGATTTGGACAACAAAGTGATCATTCCAACCAACATCTCAGTACATTTCTGTTCCCCAGTTTGCTCAATAAACACTTGATTCAACACGTGTCTGCTTTATTGGTCTCACTCTCACCCATGATTACTTATGTGATCAAAATCAAGTCTACTGGATTACGCTTGCTCGGTCTAATGCTGACTACCCATCTCATGGTAGCACCAAGAGAAATGTGAGCTTCATAGTGTGGACCTGATGGTATGCCAACATTCATGTTTTGGAGCCATCAAGTATTAATTCATGTGTGTCAGTAAGATTGAGTGCATTGGTTGAGAATAAATTGGGCTGAGATGCTTGATCATAGATTTGTTAGGGAGGTATTTTGAAACAAGGAGGCAAATACAAATTTCCAGTATGTTGTGGAATTTCCCTGCTAGGGATTTATCCTACAATCCTAAGCAACACACCTACACTAAAATGACCTGCATTATCTCCTGAAAGTCTAAATCCCACAAAACAGATCAAAAGGGGTTTCAAACCTGCAGGGGTTCAGGTATCTTGTTTGGCAGTCTGGATCTGGTTCTGCAAATGCAGAACCAAAATTTGAACACCCCCCCAGGCCCCTGTCTCCCTGTCTCAGCCACCTCTCAGGGCCCAGGCCAGCTCCAGTGGAGGAGGCAAAAATAGCTTGGGGTGAAGTTTGACATCTGCTCAACACATGAATATGTGTATAAACAAATTTTCTCTTGATTGTTTAACTATGAATAAATATCATAATAATAATAATAATGATAATGTATAATGTATAATTATTTATATATATGTTTATAAATGTTGACAACAACAATTTCATCAAATCAAATATCTCTTGAAAAAAAGTAAAGTAAAGTCAAAGTCAAAGTCAAAAAAAAATCAAACCAAAACACCCAAAAAAACCAAGACAAAAAAAAGGACATTGAAATCAAAGAATGAGAAGAAAAAAAGTGAGCACAACAGAAAAAAAAAAAAAGTCGACTTCACACTGGGGAGGGGGTAGGGGAAGAAGAGGTGAAAGAATTGGAGTATGTGGTGATTGTTGGACAAGGACAAAAGTTATGTTGTGTTGGGAAGGAGATGAAAGGAGAAGAGGTACAAGAACCCAAAGAACCTTTGACTGATAGTTCAATAAGAGAGAAGAGAAGGGGGTGGAGGTTGATGAAATGATAAATGGAAAATAGAATCCTTGATGCAGGTAGAGAAGAAAGAGTCGAGGTGAACAAAGCCCAGGAGTTCTTATATAATCTTCTACACCTCTCGTCTATGAAATATTTATATCCCAAGTTGAAAACGACTGACTACCCAACCACAAAAGAGAGAAAAGGGGGGAGGAAGTCTAGGGTTATCAAGCCATAACAAAACGAAGAAATGAAAGAAAAAAAATATCGGTTCGAAGGATGTTCATTGATTTTTGGGGAGGTTGTTATTGGTTTATAAAAGTATATGATGGGTGGCAGTGAGGCAGCAAGATAGGAGAGGACGAGGGAGTTGGTAAGGTTATTGGATGAAACCGAGGGGTGGAAGTGAATCATGGAAGATGTGAAAGTTTTAGGCGGATCTTGTTTTGGGTGCAAACAATAAAAAAAGAAAGTGTCTTGTGGTGGGGATGTTTCTTTTTGTTGTTGTTGTAAGAGGGGAGGGAGGAGGAGGATTTTCTTTTACAAATGTATTTATATAGAAAAGGATGTAATGTGATGTACAAAAAAACATATATACATCGATCATGCTTCTCATGTTTCTTTTACGTTTTGTTGTTTGTTTAAGAAAGCAAGTTGGCGAAACCAAAACTATCCAAGAAACCCCGACAACTGATTGATTGTTGAGATGTCGGAAGAAGAGGACGGGGGAGTTGAATGATATAGAGACGATACTTTTATGTTGGTGGTGCGTGTGTGCGAGACGGGGTGTGTATAAACGGATAAAAGAAACTATCTGAGGCTATAATTTTGAAAGCAGCAAACGGAGATCTTAGAACTCTTCCAACACCAACTAAGATTTTTTTCATCCGAAGAAACAAAACGAAAGTTAGCCGAAAGGTTAACTCGACTGTCAAAACTGAGGTCACAATTGAAGCTAGAGTGGTAAAACAAACCTTTCGAATTTCCTGTAAATAACATCGGTCAGCATCTGATAATCTACCGTGGGAATGGTTTCCAGGAACGGCCGAGGAAGGTTTGTTAGGTTTACCAGCAGTAGGATTAAGATGAGTTTTATGAAGTTGATTAGGATAAACCGAGTTAGTTGAAGACGGTGTATGATTGGAAGAAAGGTTAGATCTCTTGAGCTTGACTGGCTGATGGCTACTAGAAGCTTTCTTGACCGGTTTATTGGTCTCAGATCGCGGGAGATGAGAGTGGTTTTCAATAGGGATCCAACTGGCAATCTCTTTTTTATGCCTCTCCTCAGCCTCAACACAGGCCTGCCAAAAGCTGCCGGAGCGCCTGCCGCGATTTCTATTGAATTCATCCTCAGACTCGTATTTGTTTTGAGGATGAGGCAAAGATAATGAGGAAGAGAGCGAGTTCCAGCCGTCGTCCCGGACACCACCAAGGGGCTTGTGGCGGGAAGAAGATTCATCGTCGGCGAGCCAACGAAGCTCGAGCTCTTCGTCGGACTCCAGCTGGAGCTCGTCTTCATCCTCCCCGCCGCCTGTAACCTTCCTCCAAGACATCGACTCGGCATCAAAGATCATGCCACCCACGACATGGTTCTGTGCCTTGTTGTTCCTGAAACTGTTCATCAGCCCGCTATCAGGCATATCTTCTTGAATGGCGCCGGTGGGCGATCTCATCATGGGAGATTGGATCGACAGTTGACTGATCAATGCTGGTCTTGATGAGGTCGATAACACGTTGTCAAACTCTCGGAGTACATGCTCGTTTCCTTCCCACCGGGCCTCCTGGTCGTTCCATCTCATCTCAGTGTTGGTAGACACTATACAAAAAATTCGATCAGATATACGAAAAATTCGATCAGATGACCGTACTTTGAAAGTAGAACCAAACTAGTTAAGGAAATTGACTTACGCTGACTTAGAGTATTACCACTCATCTGACGAATGAGGCCCTTCTTCGTGGCAATTTTCTTGATTTGAGCATTGATAGCCAAAGTTCTTCTACGGACGCCCTCAGCTTTCCTAGCTTCGAGCCTACTCCGACTTCTTTGATTGCTGCCAGCGACGGGAGGGTTAGGACCATCTTTTCTCTCATTGTTCGAGTTAATGGGTCCAACAGATCCCAGTTTGCTTGGGTTTCGAGTGGAGTTATTGGGATTATTTTTTACAACCCATGTAAACTGTTTTTCCTTTTCTTTGCTTGTCGGCAAGTCGTCAAATTCATCCAACTCAGTCCCATCACCATATGCCCTGGGTCTTCGAGGTCGACGTAGCTGTTGTGGTATCACAGCTGACATGCCGTTGGCACCCCAGCGCTTGGAGGTTGAAGAATGCTCTTCATGAATGATCGAGGGTTTGGCTTTGAGTCGGCTTGCAATTGTTGGCATTGTCAGCCGACTGCTGCCAGCTGGCGTGCTTACCGTCGTAGGAGGGCCGGGTGAACAGACATTTAGTCGGACGCTCTCGGTGGAACTTCGTCTCGAATTGACCGAACTACTTCGATCAGGCAATGCAGTATTCGCCCCAGGCGCGCCGACGTGCCTGTTCATGGATGCCCGGGTAGGGTCAGCGTAGGAGGGGAGTGCTGAGCCAGGTATCAGATTTGGTGAGGAGGGCGTAGAAGAATAATCATAGGGTTGTTGTCGGGCTTTCGGCTGAGGTACAGCACCTGACTTCCAAACCGACGCAGCACTAATTCCGGATTGAATTACTCCCCCAGGGCGAGTAGGTAGTCCACCTGAGCCGGAAGCATGATGACTGTCACGATTGAGAGAGGGCATCGACTGTTTGCGGTGTAGGCCACGCCCATTTGAAGAAGCATTTGATCCAGGTGGCGATGATTGAGGTGGGCGACCATCACTGATAGACGAGCAATGAGATTGTGGGCCTGAGGAGCCCAAGTTGGTTGATTTGAGTGCGGCAGCCGATTTTTTGTGTTTTAACGTCCGTTGACTACTAGCGGACAGAACGGGTGGGCCATTACAGGCTGCCATAGTCGAAACTCTAGCGCGTAGGGAGCTTGCGGCGCTCACTCTACTAACCAACCTGGCGGCTCTTGAGGGATTGCCAAGTGGAGACTGAACGCGGGTTGATGTATCGGTGCCTAAGTGATTGGAAGGGGTAGGCGAATTATCCGAAAAGTCACCATTGCTATTAGTTGGTCTCAAGCTCTTTGTCCTGAAGCGCGGCAGAGAATCAGAGGAGGGCGGGTTGACAAAGGAGCTGTATGCAGCATTCTTGAAACCAGAAACCATGCCTGTTGCCGAAATGGGACGATGTGGGATCAAAGCATGAAGCCTAGAATTTGACGTACCAGGGGGTATCGCGGAACTGGGTCTGTTGATGAGTGACACGTGAGATGCCGCCCGACCGGGGAATGTCGATGTGGACGACGAGGGTACGGGGGTTAGTCGAGTGCTGCTGTCATTGGGGTGCTGATTCAAGGGGGAGCGGTTCGAAGAAAATCGAGCATGTTTCTCGCTAGGTTGTGAGGTAGAGGTGGAAGCATTTGAGGAAGGAAAAGGAACAGTTATTCGTTTGGATTTTGATTTGGAACCATGAGCTTGCTGAAAATAGCTGTTGCGACCCGGTTGATGAGCGTGACTACTTGCAGAGCTGATCGAGCTACTTTTGCGGCTTCTGAGTTTCGCGGGATGAATGCTTCCAGTTTCAATCTCAAGCCCATCTTCAACTCGTTCGTCATGGCGGTCTTCAAATGTGGAGATATTTTCTCTAAGCTGTTGAGCTGGATGCGAATCTTGATTATGAAAAGAAAAGTATCAGTGAATGAAGTAGCGGGTAAGTGATGAATGTAGAGGAAGGAGGGGATAAAGCTAAAATTCTTACTGCTTCGTTCTACCATCAAGGCGCGCGCTTGAATCTTTGAACTCAGATACGTTTGTAAGTTCATTCCACGTCCTCGACTGGGCTGTTTGCCTTTGGTGTCGGGGAGGGAGGATTGAGTAGGTTTAGGAGTGGCGGTGGTAGGAGTAGGGGCGGGAGTGGATGAGGTTGAGGCGGGGGCAAGGTTATTAGGGATACCGAATTCGGGTGGGAATTCGATATCATCAAAGAAGCCTTCGTTGAGATCATCTTCGGGTTCAGGTTCAAGTTCTGGGAAGGACGTAGAGGAGGAGCGGTCGGACATCAGACTGGGGGTGAGACTTGGACGAGTTCGGATCCTTGGGGTGTTATCGTCAATCGAGGCGGGGTTTCCGGTAGAATGACTAATCGAGTTGGTCGCGCTATTGGGTAGGTTGGCTAATAGGACACTACCCGGACGCGAGGAGGCTGTCGACTTTGGGGGATCAAGTGAATCATCGTCCAATGCATCGAACTCAGAGCCTGTGAGACTGACTGAGCTATTTGGTTTGCTGGTGAAGTGTCGATGATTCTTTTTGAGGTCAGTGAGGTTGATAGATTGGCCGGTTGGTGGTAGCTCGAAATCATCTCCGAAATCACCCTCTTCTTCGTTGACTGTAGAGCATTGGATAGCAGATTTTGTTGATTGATTGACTAGATTGCTTGTACGACTGGTATGGCTTGATGAGCTTGTACCTGAAAAGGTAAGATGATGGAGAGATTTGAGGAAGAGAGGAAGATAAGTCAGGATACCAAGTCGAAGAGGAAAGGCTAAAGAAAGAGGGGACAGTTACCTGAGCGATGAGAGCTTGGATGACTGCCCAGGTTAAGATCTTCCAACTCGTCGCTGATCGCGCTAGCAAAGCTGGGCTGCTTTTTGACGTCCTGAGTCGAATGACCGATAGGTCTGAAGATGGTCTGAAGGCCACCTTCGGGTAGAACGATGTCCTCATCCCAATCCAATCCAGCCTGGACAGGGCTCGGTTTCTTACTGGGTTCGAGGCGGGTGACGGTACCCTTAGCACCAGATGCAAGGACGGCTAGGACAGTTCTGTCGATTTGGGCGACGGATCGCTTAGAGTGATTCTTTGGAGGTTGGTGGTGATGGTTCGAGCTAGATTGAGAGTCAGGGGTGGGGAGTGGTAGGAATGAGGCTTTGATGGTCGATTGACACTCTGAGGAGGTACTCGAGAATGATTCATCGTGTTGCTGGCCGTGCTGATTGGATGATGATGGGTGAAGGGACGAGTTTGGGTTAGATCTTGAGGGTGGATTGGATTGAAAACAGTCCAGATGATTTCTATTGCTGGTCGAGTTGCCGGTCTTGAGTGTCAGCGTACCACCTTTGCGATCATCCTCTTCATCGTGGTCAGCATCATCCTCGTCGGTCTGATGTATTCTATGAGTCTTGTGAATCCGAGTCTTGTTATCGCGTCTTGACGGGTTATTGGTTGGTTCTCGGTTATGCTGGTGATGATTTGATGGACTGGATTGATGGGAGGAGGAAGCAGATGATGATGATGATGGTGATTTTGAGGATTGTTTTGTAGGATGGTCGCTTTGCCAGTCATCATTCTGTTCATCGTCGATTCCTACCGAGTAGATGCTATGGTTTCCGTTGTTGCTGAAGAGTGCGGATACTGATGATGAGGAAGTCTCACCCTCGGCTTCGGTATCTGATTGGAGTAGTGTGAGTGGGCCATCGGGTAAGACCAAGTCAGGATCGGAGTCCCAGGATTCGGTAGGGGACATGAAGCGAGTTAGTCGATCAGTCGATGGATAGATGGATGGATGGATGGATGGATGGTGGAGAGTGGGGGTGTAGGTTGCTGAGTGAGTCGGAAGTGGTGGATGTGTGGGGTGTTGGAGGAAGTTAAGTGGGAGGAGACTGTTGGACGGAAATAGCAATCAAAAAAAAAGAAAAGAAAGAAAAGAAAGAAGATGGTCAACAGGGGAGCGAACGAAGGAAAGCAACGGTCAACAAAAGAAAGCAGCAAAATCCACACATAGGATTCAAAAAAATGTTCAGGGTCACTCTCGGGGAGCACGGGGTAACAGGACCGGGTTATGCGAACACCCCTCTGTTTGAGACTGCAGTGAAATACCAAGTACCATTCAACCAAACTGTTACTTGATCTGTGACAATCATTAAGCCAATCTCACTCAAGCAGCAGCAGGCAATCAAAAAATACACCAATCCAAGCCATCTCCGTTTCTTTTAGTCTCTGCACACTTTTCCAGAGGGATGTAACTCTTGGCTAAACAATAGCTTTGAGAAATCCTCCGTGAGCTTACATGGTCCCTGTCACATTAGCGGGTTTTCATGCTTGCAGTGTTTGGGTCTCGGGGAGAGCCTCAAGTCACTGAAAGGGAATACCCTATCTGGGATCCTCTTTCTTGTAGAAAGGGATTCACCAGTAGGTAACCTGCAGGGACAAGACTCTGCTCCTGAAGCAGAGAGAAAAGCGCTTTGCTGAAGTGATATCAGTGAGAGGGGGGGGGGGGGGTGGTTTGCGCTACACCTGCAACTCAGGGAGAAGCCTGAGCCTACGCAAAACCCCCAAATTCAAAGCTGTATTTCTCAATGCCCAAGACGGGTAGGGCCATCATCTAGCTGCTCTAAAATACAAAGTGTGACTTTCAAGTCTTTAATCAAGTATGGCTTGATGTAGAGTTTATAGCAAGAGGATGTCCATCGGCCAAGTTTGCATATGATTGATATATCTACTTCCAAAGTGTTGCATAAGGATGCCCCTCCTACTCTGAAGGAGTGTCCTGAGAGGTTCATCAAGCCTATTCCTCTTCACAACGACTGCAGGCGTTGTGTGCAGTAGTTCTTTGTCAGATTCTTTCTTCCGGTGGTGGTCGCAAGTCCAAACAGGGATTCATCTGGTGCACCGGACAATAGCCTCCTGACCGGGCATAGTTTGTTGTTTGTTGCTGTTAAAATTTTTGCGAAAAGGCCAGAAAAAATAATACTTTTAACTCAAGTTGGAAGGGCTCAAGTGCTTCACAACTAAGACTGAAGAAGGGCTAAAAGTGCTTCTTCAGGAAAGGCTCAGAAAAGAATAAAGAACCGATAATTTTTTATTCCTCAATATCTAGGGTGTTAAGTAGTCTAAATACAAAAGTGCACAAGTTGTGGGATCAGAACTTATGCATATTGAATAAGAGAAAAGTCGGTGATAAACGAGTGACAGGTGACAGAGAGGAAGAAAGGAAGAGAGAGTGAGATCGAAGAGCGAAAAATTCAACAGTTGCCGTCAGGAGGAGACACTGTACTTCTCCTCCAGTTGCCGTCTTGGCAAAATGAATTTTGACCCACGCAGATTGTGCGTCGCTGGCGACTCGCACGTCTGAGATCCAGACACCTTTGTCTTTTTCCAATTGCCCATGACTGATATCGCACACAAGTTTGCCTAACCTGGCCATGCCCCAGAAAGCTACAAGCGACATATCAAGTAAGACTTTACCTAGGTCATTGCCTTTTGAGAGGTGATCATGAAGTAGTAACAGGTGTTCAATCATCACCGGTCTCTTTGTTTTTGCTCTGACTGCAAGTGCGTCCGCTTTTGCTGAGGCCTTCAGCATTAGCACAACCTTCTTTTCTGATAGCAAAGGGTATTTGGAGCCGTGGTACAGATGCCATGCCTTCAAACCGCGTAGATATTTTGTTAGAGTTACTCCGGATATCTTGTTGGGGTTCGAGTCGCCTTCTGTTCTACCTGCCCATTAGCAAAAGCCGTTGATCTCCTCTTCAGTTGCTGGTAATTCAAATTTCCTGGTTATTTTTAAATGGGCAAATTTCAGAAACTTTCTCACTGCGGAGTTGTAGCTCCGCAGAGTGCTACCTCTCCATCCATTCAAAACATGTCTATCAAAGGCTGAAGGTTCTTTCAATGAGAAGCCGGGTTGACGTGAAATCTTTCATTACAAGGAGGTTGGAAGCAAGTGATAAATTGTTACTTAGTAGATGTGGAAAGGAAAGAGGAGAGGTAAGAAAGGGGAATGAGACCTTGTAGACTAGTAGTGGATAGATCTGAGCTGTATCATATAGGCTGGAAACAGGGAACTAGACAAGGAAAACTACTTGAGACAGGATGTTTTCTAGGTCAACAGGTACATCTATTAGCAGTTGCTGTTTTACATGCTGTCCTGACCGTATCCCTCTCGACAGTGCGTCTGCTTTGTTGTCTTTGGATGAAACACATTTTGTCTGTAGCCCAATGCCTTTGTTGATCAGTATTGCTTGTATTTTCATCCATTCCACGTTGGCTAGGCTGTCTCTAGATTTCTTATTGGTGATTCCGTTTTTGGTGGTTGTATTGTCCGTCCAAACCATGAGTGTCTTGCCGTGTTGGTCCCGTAACTTCAGAATCATTAGCAGCCCTAGTCTGATGGCGACCATTTCTAGGTAGGAGATTTGTAACGGATTCCCTTTGGGGTCGTGTAGCTTGAACTGAGCCCATCGCTTGCCTATCAGGATCCCTATCCCAAAAGACGTAGACGCGTCACCTACCCAACCTACATCTATGGGTGGGCCATAGTTAATTATCCTGGTGTATTCGAAAGATTGAAGCATAGAGACCCATAACGTCAAACCACCAAAAGCATCGGGTGGTGTATGTCTTCGAGCCTTCCGTACCCGCCAGGATAACAACCACCAATACAAGGAGCATAGGTGACACTTCATATGAGGTAGTATGTATGCTACGTGGTTGAGCCTTCCTACCAATACTTCTACGTCTTTGTAGTCAAAAGTTGTTCTCTTTTCCAAAAAGGGAGTAATCTGCCTGATCCTTTTCTCTACCTTTCCTTCTGGTAATCTCACTGTTTTCTGTATCCTGTTCCATATGAAGCCGATGAATTTTTGTTCATCTTGAAAAGGAGAATATTTTTCCTTATTTGTCAATACGCCTAAATCAGAAGATAGCCCGGAAATTTCCTCCATTGATATGTTATCACCTTGCAGTCTGACAAATAGATTATTGTCCACCCATTGACTGAAGATATTTAGCAGTTTGAAATGATCCCTCATAATCTGTTTCCACGCGTCTGCGGGTCTCCCAAATGAACCGCAACCTGCTACTCCGCCAAAAGTGATCCGTGTGTCTAAAAGAAAATTACCGTTGAAATCTTTCACTAACAAATACTTCCATTGATCCATTCGCGTTGGGATTTGCCTATAAGCCTTTTCCCAATCAAACAAGGCTAACTCCATTTTCCTAGTGTTGTAAGACTCAAAAAAGTGATTGTAAGACCCTTTTTGCTGAATTTAGAAGGGGATGATGGAGTGAAAGCTCTGCCCTTCTATACTATCAGATAACAAGACCCACCAAGCTTAGCTTGGCAAGTTTTAATCAAGTGATAGGGTAAAGTTCAGGAATGAGTTGTGCGATGAAGAGTTGTTGATTTGGTTTGGTTGGCGCTTGAAAGTGTTTGTGTAAAGGTGTTCAAATATTGCTTGAGTGTTACTTGACTGAGGAGTTAACAACTGGGAGGAGAGCCTCCTTGTATAGAGAACAGTGAGGGAATTTAGCTCCAGGGCAGCCAGTAATGAGTGATTTTGGCTGGCCTGGGCTATTAAATGAGGTATTTTTGGCTACATACAAAATTTGAAAGAGTGAATGTGATTGGTCAGACATGTACAAGAGTTGAAGTGGTGATCCAAACAGCGGAATGAGTGATTCTGATTGGTCAGGTTCTGATGTGTTTACAAGTGAATGTGGTGGTGTAAGCTGCAGCTGTCATGCAAGGAGAATACACTAATTTAGGCTGCAGGTATGATGTAATATGTAGAAGTGAAATGTAAAGAGTGTAGATGTATGTAAATGAGTGTATGTGTAAATGGGGTTTGTACTGTACTGAGGGTGTCTGTGTAGCTTGAGGGTTGTAATTGGGATTGGTGACATGTAGTGATGAGTGAAATCTTTGTGATATGTTGTCCATTGTTGGGTAAGAGTTGATCAAGGTGTGTTCCAGTGACGCCTCTGTGGTGACCAAGGGTGAATTTGTCCGTAGAGTCCAGTTCTTGAGCCGTATGTTGTGATTTCTGAGGATGATTGGGTGATAACATGAAGAAAATATAGATAAGAAAAAAAAAGAAATTAGAAAAAACTTTTAATTTTCACATTTTTGACTACCACAGCCTCCCCCAATTTATTGTCTGTCCCCAGACAATTTATCAGAAAAAAGTGGGAAGAAAATGTAGAAAGAGTTAATTTTTAAACATGAAATGAAGTGAAAAGTGTAGTGGATATTTGGAGGAAAAATCTGGGGAAAAAATGCAAAAAAGAGTGTGATAGCCTCCCCCAACTTTGCAGTGAAGCCAAGCTGGGGTGGTTGTATTTGTGATTTTTGAACCTTAAACTTAATTTTTACAACTGAGTCAACAGGGTTTCACCTGTAAATGTTAGCCTCAGGTCCCCGTGTACCCCCCTTCTGTCCAAAGTTCAGAGGTGGGGGGGCAATTTTATTTTATTTTTCATCTTCTTTAGTTTATTTGAGGGCCTTAATAAAAAAAACCCGCATTTTCTGCGTTTTGACACGGTTTCTGCTGCGTTTAAACCCACTTTTTTAATTAATTTTTTTTTCTGTTAATTTTAATTTTTTTTAATTTTTTAAAATTGTTTCCTACACTAAAAAACGTGTAGAATTTAATGGTAAAGTCCATTTTGCATAAAAATGACTTTTGATTCTTAATTTTGTTTTCCACTCATTTTTCAATTAATTGTTTGCATGCATGTATGTACTTTATTTTTTATGTTTTTTTGAGATTTTAAAATTATTTACTAGGTTTTAAAACATGCAGAATTTAATGGCGCAATTCAAATTTTCTAAAACTCAACTTTTCACTTTGAATACTGAAATTAGACACTTTTTTCACTTAAATTTTTACAGCTTAATTTTCATTCTTTTTTGACTTTTTAAATTTGTTTCCCACACTTTTAGACATGATTAACATGATGGTAACAATCATTTTGCATAAAAACCAAAGAATGTTATTGAATACTGCGTTGGACATGTTTTTTTTAATGTTTTGTTAATTGCTTTTTACCGGCTGGTTTTTAATCATTTTTTGAAATTTTAAATTTATTTGCTACATTTAAAAATGTGTGGAATTGAATGGTGAAGTCCAATTTCCCTAAAAATACAAGCTTCAATCTTAATACATGAGTTTACGCCGTTTCTTGCATAATTTGTCCCGTATACAAATTTTATGTGAATGCAAAATGGATACAGCCAGCAATTTTAAAACCTTTCAAAGTGTAGGAAATGAACTTGAAATTCCAAAAAATAAGGATAATTAAGTGTGTAAGAATTAATTAAGGAAACACGTCAAAGGCATTATTCAAGATACAGATTTTATTTTTATGCAAAATTATTTTTACCATCATTTTTAACATGTCTCAAAGTGTGGGAAATGAATTTAAAATGTCAAAAAATCATGAAAATTAAGCTCTTAAAAATCAATTGAATTTTAAGGCTGATTACAGTATTCAGAATGAACCGTTGAGTTTTATGGAAATTGAATTTTACCAGTAAATTCTAAACACTTTGAAATATAGGAAAAAACTTTCAAATTTCAAAAAAGCAGAAAAAATAAGGTAAAAAAATTAATGCAAACAATTGAGTGAAAAAGTGAAGAATTAAATAAAAAAAACGGTGTCAAATGCAGTATACAAGATGTAGTTCTCACTTTGATGCAAAATAATTCTTACCATAAATTTATAAATGTCTGAAAGTGTAGGGAAAAAAGTTTAAAATGTGAAAAAAGAATGAAAATTTGAGCTCTAAAAATTTTAAGTGAAAAAATGGGTGTAATTGCATTATTAAAAATGATCCATTCATTTTTATGAAAATTGGATTTCACCATAAATTTCTAAACACTTGATAATGTAGGAAACAACTTTAAAGTTACACAAAATCTTGAAAATGAGGTAAAAAACTTAAAGCAAACAATTGACGGAAAAAATGAGTGGAAAAAAAAATTAGGATCAAAAGTCATTTTATCAAATGGATTTTACATTATTCTACACATGTTAGTGTAGAACATTAAAATAAAAAATAAATACAGCAAAAAAGTAGTAAAAGCGGCTTATCGCGCATGCGCCGTGCTGCG